AGGGTTAATGTTCAGAACACGAAACACTGTCCACTCCCCAGCACGCATGCACCCACGCAAGGCGTAGCATCTTCCCCTATGAAAGACTGAGCGAATGTGCTCCCTTCGCAAGGATAAATCCAACTCGGATTCGGACACTAACTGACGCTGCCGGTGTTTGGCAGCTACGACAGCAAGGCTTTCCTTGAAATTGGCATTATGTGCACGTTCTTCAAGCAGGTCGTCAAAGTTGGGCGCGCCACTCATGCGACAAACACATTCCAGAAGATCGCATTTGCTCCGCCAGTTTCCAGGACACAACGCTGGTATGCCCCCCAGCAGCTCTCTCAGGTTATCAACAAACCATGGACAAACAAAATCGTTGTTCTGTCGCCGTCTCATCGCTGCCGACACAGTCATCGGGAGAGTCCGATGCTTCCAGGAGATGCTCGCGGTATTCCCCGCCTTTGTCCAGAAATTTGTGCGCCACAGCCTCAGTCTAGGGTCATGGCATACGTTTGGCCTCAACCTCCCGCGCCCTTTCTGTGACCAACAACATTTCTAAACTTCTGATTAAACGCGGGAGAGATGCGCCGAGCGCGGCCTTGTTGTCAGCGGCGTCATAAGATGCAACCAGGAGCTTGGCTATTTTCCGAGTCCCTCGAAGACAGTCGCTGGCCTACAGCAATTGCAGCTTGTAACTTTGCAAACTTAGGGCTGGAAGTGTGAGGGTGGGCCGGGGCTGGGATGGGATGTCACATTGCTACACCGCTACACTCGGTCTCTCGGTCTCGGTCTCAGGTTCACAATCGGCCTGTTCTGGGCTGTCGAAGCGCGACACGAATGGTTTCGCCAACATGATCAAGCTCCAAGGGAGCTGCAACCAGTAGGAAAAGGATTGTTTGGTTCGAAAACACATCCGTGCAACGGCTGTCCGGTAATGGTCTAAGACTTCAGATGCCTTTGCAGCATCCAGACTGGACAGATGGTCCACTGCCAGCTGGGTGTGTCGTGTCAGCTTGCCGCTGACCTTCTGCAACGAAGAAACGGCCTCCTCGTGGAGGCCACAAGAAAGGGCGACCGCCATGCGGCCCTCCATAGGGCACTTGTCTGGAACCGTCGTTCGCGATGTGTCAGCAGCTGGTACCGAATTGCCCGGCAGTGTCAAGGTGCTATGATCAGCGGGTTTGTTGCCACGTTTGCGGGCCTTCCTCTGCTGCTGTTTAGCTTCCACCTTCTCCTCGTGCGTGTGGCAAGGGCAGCCGTGAAGAATTCCACTGAAGCGATGAGCCCAACCAGCTAAGCTTCTGCATAACCCGCACATGACCCAAAACTCAGACCCCTTGACACTAGTGGCGTCGCAGATCTCGGCTATCAAGTCCATTGAAAGAACTTCCCCGGACAAGTCCAGCTGATCCTCGTCACGCCCTGGGCCGAAATTGTCCAGCTGCATGTACTGAAAAGCCTGTTGCCTAGGCCACACCCACGAGAGGACCTCGTGAAGATACATCCACCTGTGCTCACATAGCTTTGGGCACACTGTTTTGAAGAGGTCCGTGAATTGTCGTCTGTAAGCCTCGGTGGCAAGCAGGGCAAGTTTCAAAAGAAAAGGAGCCAGGGAGGAGAGGGGCTGGGGGAATCAAGACAAGACAAAGCTCAAAAGTTCACGACAGGAAACCTCCGGAACAGCTGGATTTTTCTGGATGCACACGCTTCTGAATCTCTCAAGCAAATGGTAGCTGCCAAACGCGCGGCTTATCACTGCCAAAGTGTCTCTAAACCGAGACCAGCAGGGAAATGCGGCTGGTAGTTCTTCCATCACCTTGCAATACAGATCGCCTACTCACCAACTCCTTCCGATTCCAAAACCACCGACCTGACCCGACCCTAACCGAACTTCAAACCCAAACACGTTGCTCTCATCAGAGATCACATCCTGAACGAAAGAAACTGATGATGAGGCAAGAATTGGGCTGGAGCACATGATGGATCGCGTGGTCGCAATCCGCGAAGGGCAGGCTATTCGAGAACAATCGGACGGCGTCATCCGCAGGATCAGGCAGAGTCCATATCCCTGATTCCGCGCCGTAGTCGAACATGAGGGTAGACACCCTCTTCGTCGCTGCACGAGCATCTTCACACTCTAAGCCTAGCGCATGGAGCAGGAGCGCCCCTTTGTGAGTTGCACTTGCGCAACGCGCGCCAACAATGCTTAGGGGCAGAAGACGACTCCTGATGTCCACCCGTCCTTCTGCCAGCAGAGCGGAACAGTGCAAGTTCTCTGACCCCACATAAGGACTGCTGCCGGCACCGAAAGTGCAAATGTCGGCCTCCGTTACAAAGTAATCTCTCCCGGCTTGGGGAGAAGCATCAGATCTCAGATGCAAGTGCCATGTTTTGGACAAGCTGAAAATGTACCGGCGTGCGTACACCATTGATGCCAGATCTAGTTCAAGTCGTGCCCGGAACACTGTGGATCTCCCTGGCGCCTCGATTGGCTTCTGCAGCACATGTGCTGCAAGCTCATCTTGCAAAGAAAGTTTCAGTGACCTTGGCAAACACTGTGCGCGCAGGTGCGGTCCAACCGAACGCAGGCACGCATGATCAGGAAGGAGAACGACTGGAACTAGGGCTGTGGCAACTGCAGCGTTTCTTGGATTTCGTTCGGGTTGTTCCTCGAATGGAAACGCGTCTATATGTCACAGCGGCCACAGCAGTGTTGATATTACTTTGCAAGTCTTGCGCGCCGCAGCACTGCACAGTGATTCTCAGAACAAGAGACAACAGAGTTGACAACTGACAACAGCACAAAGCACTGCAATCAGGTCAGGATGCAAACGATCTGCCAGTATTACCGTCAGCAAAAGAAACTCCGGACGATACTCTTGGCCACCAGGGCCACCAGGACGACATTGGCGTCCCTCAGCATGGAACTGCCCCTCCCGTCTGGGAGCCTTGCCTGTGGCCAGACTGCACGACTGCAGCAAGGCGTGTAGTCTGTCACGGACCAGAGGCATGTTGTGCTCCGCTGCTGCCATTTCAACTTCGTGTGCTAGCCGTTCTAGGGGGGTGCAAGGCAAAGCCCCAGCCCCAGTCGCAGCTTCATTTGAAGCTCTGGAACCAACAACCCGGATCTGTCCAGCAGCCGCCGTTGCCACATCTGATCCTGACGGCCTCCGCGCGACCTGGAACACGTCCGATTTCGATCGTGAAAACACAGAAATCTCGCTTGTTGCGGTGTCAGTTGCAACCTGTTGCTGAGCACTCATAGAAACGACTTGTGAAGAGCCAGCAGTACTGGCATCACTGCCGGCCACGCCGGAATCCAGCACATCGACAAGGCTTGGAATCTTTGACAAAGAATAGTGCCTGGCCAATGCAGCATGCCGAGCAAGGTTTGCGGTTTAAGTTTGGGTTTAAGGCTTGAGGGAACCACGAACCAAGCAACAACCAACAACAACAGCAACCACAAGCGACAACAAACGACACAACAAACATAACACAACCAACAGCTTGGACCTCAGGAACAGCCACAGCAACAACGACACAGCAACACCAGCGCAACAACGGCAACAAACAACAACAGCAACACGCCATCAACAGCAACAACGAAAGCAACAGCAACAAGACGACACAGGCCAAAACAACAGACGGGGAACGACGACGACGAACGAAAGGAGCAACACAAACCACAACACAACAGCAGCCCAAGCCCCGAAAGACAAAGAGCATCGACTTGAAAATGACGTCGCTATGGCTATGTGTCCACTGTCCACTCCTCATTCTCTTTTCTCTTCTCGTCTCTTCTCTTCTCCCTCTCTCTCTCGCAGCTGTCTCTCTCGCGACCCCCCCCCCCCCCCCGCCAGCCTTATGTGCTTTTGACACACATCCATGGGATCACGAGGAACTGGAAAAGCACCGAGAAATTGCTGCCATGACATGGTGTCCCCTTGCACATTCTCAACGTTAGCCGACCACAAGCATACCACACCGGGCCCCACGTCGAACAGAAGCCGCACATCTGCGACACAAATGCTGGACAAGTGCCGCAGCTTGGACTTTGAAACATCCCGGCTTGAAGGAACGTGTTTTTCGAACCTTCCTCGAAATGTGCACAGTGCGTCAGTCGAGGAGGCATTGTTGTGGAAGACCAAGATTTCTGCCTCGGCAAAACGGCTGTTGTGTCATCCCTGCGTCACAGGACATGTGGGGCCATCCAAGTCCAAATTCAAGCCGAGACTCATGTTTCATAACATTCACAGTGTCTCGTAGAAGACACCATACATTCCCGACAGGCAGTGTCACATAACGAGAAACCTGGAGCCCCAGTCTCGAGTCGCTCGAAGCTGCCATTGCCCATGCAACTTGCAAGGAATTAATTCGATGATCGGACCGGTTGCTTTTCTCCCTGCATGTTCCCGTTTTCAGCCACGAAGCTATGTGTTGCGCTGCGTGTATGTGTGTGTGGCAATATCATCATGTCACGCCACCTGCGTTGAGAAGGATCCGTGCTGCGATTTGCAAAAATGCAGAATGCAGAAGCCAGCCTCAGTGATGCAATGCAAGCTTCGGGGCTCAGGGCGACGTTACGGTTTAGGAACTACTCTACACCTACCTACGTAGTGTACGGCGCACCCCGTCTGTTTGGCTATTTCGGGGTTTCTCTCTAGTACTAGCTTTTCTTCAGCATGCAGTTGGCCTATGTGATTGCCTCTTTTCCCTATCTACAGAATTAGTGGAAAGAGCTGGCGACACCCTGGTTTCGCA